ACCAAAGGTAACCAAATTATGAGCAGATAAAAAAACGTGTGCCAAATGTAGTAACCCAATTGTAAAATGAGATAACTGTTTTGTTCATATTTCACTCATTAAGATGGTTATTGGTTAGAAATTTTGAACGAACTATTGTTTGAATTTGTTTTAGGAAGGGTCATTAGAACAAGCTATGATGGATGCTCTAATTAATGATAGAGTTGATTTTGTAAAGTTATTATTAGAAAATGGTGTCAGTATGCATACCTTTCTTACTATACCACGTCTAGAAGAGCTTTATAATACTGTAAGTCAACTTTTTATATTATTCTTTCATTTCAAAGTTTTCTTCATTAGCCCACAAGGTGCAGAATAGTAGGACGTAAAACTCCATTCATTTCATTTCAAAGTTCTAATGAAGCTGTAAATTTTGGTTTTTGGTGGTTCTCTTGATCTTTGCCTTAAAGGTGATGTTAATTTATTTTTCCACTTTTAGAACAACCTGTAAAAATTTATGATTTAAATAAATTTCATTGTTTTTGTAGAGACAAGGTCCGTCCAATACATTAAGATATCTGTTTAGAGATATATGCAAGGTAAGACTTCATTTCAAGCAGGTAGTAAACATGGCTCATTGTAAAATTTGTGTAGAAAATAAACTGCCTCCAATGTAAAAAAAAGTTTCATGTGGAAAATGACAAAGATGGATCCTATGATATTTTTGTGGAATTGTTTCAAGGAATTTTTTGTAATTTGTCTATGAATGGTAGAATGTATTGAATAAGTACTGTAAACTGTGAAGACTACTGTTCTATGCAGCCCAAGAGTCACTGTACTACATTTCTACAAGATGTAACAAACATACTACTTGAAAATCAATAGTGTTTATAATCTAGATTAAACTTTAATTTAGGATGATATCATTATTTTTTTCAGCATCAACATTCAAATTATAGAGTTACTCTTCCTGATGTGGGCGTAGTTGTACAGCATTTAATGGGTGGTGCATTTAGATCTTCATACTGTAGAAAACGATTCCGACAGAAATACTATGCCTTGAAAAATAATGTGAGTACATTACAAAAATAACTCCTACAGACTTTTGGAACATCGTTTCAGAATATCCAATTTTCTGTTTATTATAATATCAGGATTCATGTTAACAATTAAAGCAACTTTATCAACACTGGGAAATATCTAGCCTACAAAAACCAGCTATACTATATAAAAACAGGAAAAAATAACTTCAATGACTGTCCTTTGGGTGCTGAATTGTGGTTTATTTGCGAACTCTGACTTAAATTGTATACTTTAATGTGGAAAGTAGTAATGAAATATTAATGATTTACTGGCCAGATATTATAAATGACTGTGGTTTGAATGTTTGTATTTAGCAATAGTTACTTCCCTTCTATAATTGCACCTGTTAAAAGTAAAGTTGCTCTGTGTGTCTTATAACATCCCAATAATAGCATTGGTGGCATGCTGACTCATTGCATAATTGAATTTTTTAGCCTGTAGAATTGTACCTTTTTGCTTAGCTTTGGAGGCAGAAAAGCCAGCTAATAAGAAATGATGAAAGGGCAATGCTATTTTTAACTTTTATTAAGGAAAAGGATTCAAAAGCAATATGTTTTTACAAATTGTGACAAATAGCATTGCCTCTTTAAATCTTCCCATCCATGATCTGATCTGTTGTATTTTTGTTGTCCAGCTTAAAGAACTGGAGGTAGGCGTATAATCCTTTTGATTATTTACGGCCAGCACTTAGTAGATTCAAGCATTTACTGAATAATGATTTTATACATTTTGATTCATTTGGCTTTTATTTTCATCGTTTACAAGTAAAATTTGGTTACAGTAAAATTATTCAGTCAGTGCTTCACTATAATGTAGTTATCTAAATAGTCTTTCATACGTAAGTTGATTAGAATGTCAAGATTTCTAGAGTTCTTGCAAACTGTTTCCCTATGATTTATGTGTTATGTTATGTCATTAGCAAGGCAGGAAAGTTTAATGGTTCAAACTAATATTGATCAAATTTTGTCCAACCAAATAGTTATTTGTGCTCGTAATAAAGCTTTTACATACTTGATTTTAATATCATTGATTTAATATGGTGAATGATGTGGTTAATGAACACAGCTTCAAAGCCTTTGAAATTAACAACTTTTACTGTTTTTATGGAATTGTTTTGTCTTAATAAATATTCAGATAAAGTTAAGCTTTCTATCTATTTATTCTTCATTCAATCAAACATACTGATAACTTATGGAAGACTCAAGGAATATTTAGATAAATATTATTGTAGATTTTTGTCACACAGAAAATATCTGCCCTCTTCTATGCTTCAAAATTCAGTTGATAGTTCCTTTTAAAACTTCATGGGATGATCAATTACGAAAGGACTACAATTTAAATTTCATCTCTGAAGTTTATAATAATGTAATATGATGATATATTTTGCTTTCTTGAGAGTCCATGAAAAGGTTGTGGTTCAAATAGTTCATAGATATGATAGTAAATATTATCACAGAGGTTTTTTTTTAACTGTGAATGGCCTTGATTGATTAATAAACTTTACAAAATCTCTATATTCAATAGATTTTAATGACATGTAGTATTTTATATTGCACAGTGTAATTATAAATATTGAATGAGAAATAATCTTGATATCAATGTTTGATGTAATTCATTAGATTTTCAAACATTCCTGAAACCTATTATTTGAATTAGAAAGTCGTTGCACTCAACACACATTTTATATGGCTTGATGATTTATTTTTTCTTGCTAGCTTGAAGAGGTAGGCACATAGTCTGTTTATTTGGATTATCTAGCATTAGAGTAGATGTAGTATGCATTATTAATTGCTTTTGTAGTTGTGAAAGAATATTTATAAAATTTCCAGCAAAATAACAATTATTACCACAGATTATATTTAGAAGAAGCTGGAAGTGTATTCGTACCTATTTATGAGAATGCATTTCAGATTGCTCATTGCAATTATTTATATTACTTTTTCCTTATAAATTATTCTCATCTGGCATATGTCATTTTAAGTGCAGAAGAATCTGAAGCTTCATCTAACTAAGGAGTATATGGAAATATCTGAAGCATACCCTTTCAGTATATTTGGCCTTTCTTAACCTGTGTGGTATTACAATGAGTTTTTTACTGGAATTTCACTCAAGAGACTAATAAGATATTAGTTTTATATTTATTGATACAGTAATATATGTTGCTTCTAATTTGGGAATTGCTTCTAACATTGAGGTGATGATCCTTCAATGGTATATTAGAGGTGATGGTTATATTTATTTTATCCAACTGGACCTTGTGCTGGTGATTTTTTGGTCACGTTTCCAGTTTCTATTACTTTTATATTTCTCCTCAGTAGCTCCTCTAATAATACTGCAGGTAAAAGGTGCAAATAAACAAGTAAGCGCTTCATATGAAATGTTTGATTTTTCTATTTACTACAATAATGTCACACAATATACGCATCACACAAAGAATATTGTCTATTGCCACCTTAAGCAGGTGAAGATTTCTGCAATAACTTCGATCCATCAGTGAAATAATATGACATTTGCTCTTTAAAGCTATATTAAAAAAAATAATTAAAAAAAGGTTTTCCTGTGAAACGTTTTTTTCTTCTTGATTTGATATTGATATATAAATGTCATATTATGATGCAAGGACTTATTTTCCTTTGTATCCTCAAGAGTGTTCATTTCAGTCTGTTTGTCACCATGACAGCTGATATTGTCAGGGCTGCTATTTCTTTGTGAATTATTATACTTATTATGACATATGTTACAAACATTGACCTTGACAATTTTTCAGTGAAAATAACTTTTTTTAAACCAGGAAAAAGAGACAAATTGTTCTTGCAGCATCACCTTTCTCTTGGATATGATCAAATAATTGTAACAATGTTACTGCTAAAGGACTAAGATTTTGATGTTACTTATGTTTAAAATGTTACACAATGTTTTACAAATACAATGCTAAGCTCTTACATATTACAATACAATCATATACTATTCTTATATTTTCACCACAACATAATATTCCAATTTCGATAAATAAGAAAAAAGTCTGGCAATTTTTACTAGGATATTGATGGATGGTAGAAATTAGAATGTCTCAAAAATGATGGAATAACTGAAACATAATTGTTAAATAAATACAGATTTAACAGAAATTCAATTTGATTTATAAACATATAACAATGGCTGATATAGAAAAATAACACTATTTATATCAATATGATTAATCTGTCAACAGTTGTGTATTAAATTGTGTGCAGATGGAAAAATGGACATGCATTTTTGTTTTATTGAAAAAATTCCGGATCTGCAGTTTCTTTTTAAAAAAAGCCTGCAACACATTATAGATATGTGGTACTCCTCTTTAACATGTGTTCAATATTATAGAGACTGAAAGTGCCAACTTTTATTCAATTAGAACACTGGTTCCAGGAGACTTATAAAGAATTATTCTAGAATAGTATCAATGAATCTATATTAGTGACAGGTTGAATGAATATTTATATTTTGTGCCACATTTGTCTTAGATAGAAATGTGATAACAACATATCTCTCTTGATACCCTATAATATAGAATAGTCAAGGGGTTCAATATCTGTGCTATTACCAACTATAGAAACTACTTTCATTGCAGTATAAAAATCTTTCAAGGTTTTTGTTTAAAATAAACCTGTAGACAATTAAGATGTTTTTTGAAAGAAAGACAGGCACAGATTTTCCTTAATCCTATATCTGATCAAATATAATTTGAAGTGGAATTTAGAAGCAATATAGAAATTTAAAGAGGACTTTTGACAAGATGATTGAATTCTGTGTCAATGATTTTATACAGGCATGTTAATTGTTTGGAGGAACATTCATTCACATTTAGTATTATAATGATTTACTATGTTGTAAGTTTTTCAGCTGTTAATATTTATTATCTTCATGATTCTTGACTTTTTTTAATCTTTTTCTTTGGAATAACAGCAGCAACCTAAACAGGTATCTTTGATGAACTCCTACCCATTCTTCTGTACTTTATTTCTGTTTTTCTGTAATGTTTTGTTGAATTCTGTATTAGTTGACCTACTTCTTTATAGCTTTTCATTTTGAAACTTTAGTACAACCATGAATTATTCTCTGTAAAAATGTTAAGATTTTTTGTAAATCTTAGTAATTGCATGTATTGTAAAGCCTTTATCTATTTTTTTTTAACCCATTCCATATTTCTGTAGCCAGAGAAGACATCAATTGGAAAATGAATAATTTTTAATTCTGAGGGAGACTTAGTGATAATAATTGATTATAGAATTGATTATCATATAGTCCACTGCATGTTACTGTTTTGTTTCCTTATTGACTTCCATGCTTATATGATTATCAGTTGCAGATTCAAGTTTATTTCTGTGTGTATTTAGAACATAATATATATTAGAAAGCCTTGGTATCTAGTATAGCATGATTTATAATTATGTGATACATTTCTTTTCAAGCTGTATATATTCTATAGATAAGTGTAAATTGGAAGGGTCAGGTGGATCCCTTTTAATAAATTACTTTCAATTGTTGAAGATGAGTTATAAAAATTTCAAACATTCCAAAATGAATTTACCTTCAAGCCACATAGATTATGAAAGTCAGAAATCAAGTTGAATGTCCTGCTATATTTCCAGAAGCTGTTTATCAAGTTCATTATGATCAGAAACTGTTTATTCTCTTTTTGAAAACTATTTAGAATTATATTTTTTACGTGTTACAGGGAGCATCATTAGGAAATGTAGTGACATCCATTCCACATCTCGTCAATACTAAAATGGTGGAAGATTTATTCCCATATCCATTCCATGATTTGATGATCTGGGCAGTGTTGATGAAACGACAGAAGATGGCACTGTTTATGTGGCAGCATGGGGAGGAAGCCATGGCAAAGGTTTTCAATTTTGAATTTATACTCTTATATTATATATTAGTTGGATATGTCTGAAGTCTTGTAATGACAGGTTTGACTGATATTTTTATTAGCCTTCTACATCAACTCTTTAGAAAGATCTGGTTAGCTGTAAATGGGATTTTGATTGAAAATGGAGACATTTTTTGTTTATTTCCTATTTTCTGTCATTAATTCATGATTACAAAAAACCATATGATATATAAGGTTTCTAGATTTTTTTTTTACCTCCTTTATGACATTTTTCATTTACATGCACACATACTTCTGGAAAAGAGTGATATAACGTATGGCATTTCTTAAATAGGAAAGTGTCTCAAAGCCATATGATTTCAAGTGAATTAATTAATTATATGTTGCTTGTTTGTATGTACGATAGAAACTACAGTTTTTATCCAATCTTTATGAAATTTGATCATAAGATCTCAGTCCTGTTCGAAATTGGTAATAATAGGATGAACCGTTTCAGAGTTATTGCCCTTGACTTAGTAAAAATGCAGCAAATTTGGCTTGTAGGCATGATAGAGACTACAGTTTTTATCTGGTCTTGATGAAACTTCAAACGTGGTATATATTGATGAGTTCTTGGTCAGGTTCAAAATTGGTAATTACTCGATGAATAATCACCTAAGACAGAAATTGAATATAAGAATGACCTTTGATATGTTGTTGGTATTGCAGGCTCTATTAGCATGTCGTCTGTATAAAGCGATGGCACATGAAGCTGATCAAGATGATCTAGAGATTGAACTAACAGCAGAATTCAGAAGATATGCAAAGTAAGTTTGACACATGCTACTTCGATTATAATGAATGTTTACTTTTTTTGTAATTTAGATATTTTGATATAAAAACAATATGAGGTATGAAAACTCTCCAATGGGGATGCAGAATTGATGAACCCAGTTTATGAGAAGCATCCATTTTTTTTACATAATTCACTTACCCTCCCTCCCAATACATTTCCTATCACAGTCATTGAAATGAAATAAATAAAAAATCAAATATTTTTGTTTTCAGAGATTTCCAGACATTAGCACTGGAATTATTAGAACATTGTTATAAAATAGATGATGACTATACTCAACAACTGTTAACTTATGAACTCAAGAATTTTAGCGAACAGACTTCACTCAGCTTGGCAATGGTGGCAAACCATCGTGAGTTTATAGCTCATACCTGTTGCCAGGTTTTATTAAATGACTTATGGATTGGTGGTCTCAGAATGAGGAAAAATACCACCTTTAAGGTAAATAAAATCTTTGTGTTCTAGAATTTTGGGATCATGCTTTTGCAAATGCAACCTTAATGAAAACATCATTAATCAAGTTACTTTTCCATACGATGCCTTAACTAATTATGCCAAACTGCAGAAATTTACAATGAATGATGTAACATGCTGTAAAGAAATGAAACCAAATATCTAGAGCTGTATTATAATCAGATATTAACCCACCAAAAACACTTGATTTGGACATAAAATCCTGATCAAGACACCTAGTTCAGTTAATTATGAAATATTTCAGGTTATCATGGGTATCTTTATACCACCATCTATCGGTTTATTAGAATTCAAGAGTAAAGAAGAATTACAGTTGATGCCTCAGACAATGGAAGAACATTTAGAAGATCTGGAAGATGCTGATTCCACAGTGGATCATATGTATGCTTCTTTTGAAGAAGAACAGGTGATTGAAGTAGGTTATTTCTAATCTGACCGTCTCGACATCGTCATGCTGTTGCTGTGTCGCTCGGTCAATGATATTTATTATGGCTGTGAAGCTGTTGTCATACTGGTGACATCCATTGCTGTTGTTTTGACGTGGCTGATCAGTAAGATCTTTCTAGTTGTTGTATTATATTTGTTGTTCTTTGTCAGCTATGATTTATAGTGAAAACTCTTATCTCTCTTAAATACTTTCAAATAATTACAATATTTATTTTAAGAATATAGCTTGAAAAATAGACACTGAGATGTAATTGGTTGTAGGATTGAATGCTTTCATTGCAAATATCTGATGCTTGAGTTAAGAGTTTTCACTGTTGAATTGCTTCAAATGTGTGTAATGTAAACATAAGAGTTATGTAAGAATGTTGAAGTATATTGTTTGCAGACTTTACATGATGAGCTTAGCTGAACTATTATCATGCTCTATAAAATCAGAATAATTCTAGCTTAAATAGCTTATGAGTTGTTTTATTTTTATTGTTTTATTTTTATTGTGTGTGCCAATTTGCTTGCTTCTTTCATTTAAAGTTTCTATTGCATGGAATATTTTTCATATTGACATTTTTATAATAATAATGTTAAGTAAAGAAGTATTTTAATTCTAACTGTAACAGTTTGTAAGAAAACATTATGTTTGTGTATTTTAAATGTTAATTTGTATAATTTATGTAAATTGTAGAATGAATTCGGTGAAGATAATGAAACCAGTTTTAATACTATGCAGCAAGGTGGCCCCCCACCAGCTACTAAAGAAAATGGTGCCGTTCCTCATGATACTAGTATAATTTCACACCTTCCTTTCCGCAAGAAGAAAAGTCCTCTACGAATGGGAAAGAAGATATATGAATTTTATAATGCTCCTGTAACTAAATTCTGTGCTCATACAGTAAGTTAAACAGTTAAATGGGTACTGTAGTGAGAAAACAATATACAGAGTTCTGTCTGTTTTAAAAAACCTACTTTGTTTTATCAGTCTTATTATATAAACATTGCTGTTGATCTCATATAAAGTTTCTTACAATTTAATCTCAGAAAAAAAAGGAAAGGGTTCTTTGAAAACAGAAGAAATAATATAAAACAGTTTATGGATTTTTTGTTTAAAATTTAACATTTTTGTCATATTTTAAGACTGTACAATTTTATGAGGACAAGGCCATGAATACCACATTTGTTAATATTTTTATAAAGTGCCTGATCTGATTAAACATTGATAATATATTATGTAAATTTTTTTATAGATTGCCTATTTAACGTTTCTGGTATTATTTGGTTATACAGTTCTATCACAGATTCATACTGGTTTAAAATGGCAAGAAATCTATGTTATGAGTCATATTTTTACTTTAGCCATAGAGAAAATCAGACAGGTATGTATCATTGTTTTATCACATTTAAGATAGTAAGAATAAAATATTTTCACTATTAAAATGATGCTCAATACATCAATTACAGACATATATAAAAATATTAAAACAAACATGAATATAAATTAGTTGTTATATAAACATAATACATAAGACATGGTTATCAATTGTCATGTCAACAGCATTAGAACATTTATTTCAAAGTTCATGGTCAGTAAAACATAATTCACACAATTACACAAGTTACAGTTTCTCATCATCTGATATTAAACTATTAAACTAATAACAATTGATCTCTGATGAACATCATTCATTTCATCAGTAAATCTAATTTTTACTATTTTTATGTGAATTGGAATATCAGTTTAAAAATATAAGGATATATCTTAAAATTACAATGTCAGCACATATCATTCAGAAGATAGTCCAAGTCAATTTCTACCTAACTTAAGGATACTTTGTTTATTTTGAATATGAATATACAAAACGCAAGGTTTTACCTACAAGCCTGCAAAGAAGTAGCTTACTGCACTAAAGGATGATGTTGATGATTTGAATTAAAGTAAAGAAGAGTTAGAAATTTTAATGGATTTGAGTGAAGGACATAGTGTAATTTATATTACAATTTCAATATATTATACAAAAAATCTATGTGCATACTTGAGAAATATTGATTTTATGATTGGTGGTTGTTGAGAAATAGTAGTTGACAGTTAGCTTACTGATTACACGTGGATTGAGTTTTAACACTTGACCAAGATTCTACTGGCCAAACAACTAAAAATCTAATGAAAGAAATATAAAATACCGATAAAGAAAGGCTCTGTCTGGTAGATTTAAGAGTTTTCAATAGAAAGTAATTAATTTCTACTTCATGAGGTTATATAAAAAACATTAGTCGAGATAATTGCTTACATTAAAGTCTCGGAAATTTACACTTCAGAATTAAATGAATGAACTTGGGAAAGGTTAAAGAGACCAACATATTTTAAATTTCATCTACTCTGATGTACAACCATTCTTCTCAATGATAGTTTTTGTTGAGTTTGCTCTGAACATCTTTAAAATCAGCATAATACCTAGTTGTTGATGATCATGATGAGTGTTACATAAGATATAAAATACCTCTTTCAAATTGGTATGACTAGAGACATCAAAGATCCAAGATAACATCTTTCATCTGTGGTCAAAATACTTGTTGACAGTTATGATGAGGTAAACATTGTTTCAAATTAAGACTAATCATGTCCATACCATTATTATAATTGTTCCATAGTAATTGGTATGACTAGAGATATCCAAGCTAGCATCTTTAAACTGTGGTAAAGATTATAGCTGACAACCAATGATGAGGGTAACATTATTTCAAGATTAGTGGTATCACCTTGTTAGGTGGTATGAATGGAGATGTCACTTTGTGCTAATGCTGACGTCACAGAATGGATGATTATGTTTGTCTAATCAACTCTAGTACATTAAACTGCCATCATTAAGTTCCTGTACGCCTCGTAAAATATACTTCAAAATATCTCCATTAACTTAAAGTTGATTTAGTTCCATTCGGAGATGAAGAGTACAGTTTCATTTCAAGCCTTCATTGTTCATACCAGTCTGAAATCTACTGAATAATAAACTCTTTATTGTTTAAAACAGGTCAGAATTAGGTCCATTCCATTTAAGTATTTTGGTTGAATGACATTCAGCTTGATCTTCAAATTGTTAATTTCTCACATTTATGTGATCACAGAAAACTGATTGATGATAATTTTGTTTTTGATTGATCTCGATCAACACTTTCTTATTTTGTTTAATTGAACTCTTTTGCCTTATCTTAATGTTACATTCTCTTAAAACTTATTTAATATTTTAAAATAAATGATCAATGATCCAAATAATCATGGATGAAATAATTTATTTTGAGTCAATATTAAAATTTACAAAATTGTTGAATTATTTTTTTTATGAAGGCAGTCATTTGATATCAAAATCAGCAGACATGCTTTATACTTCGAAAAACAAAGATTTTCCCAATTACACTCTACATATTTCCAGCTTAATATTAGTTATTGGACTATTTATTTATTTTTTTTTTAGTTTTTTTTTAAGTTTTGCCATGCCTTGTCCATTAGCTGGTCCTTAACTCATCATGTTTTCTATTGAACTATTTACTGAAGAGCTTATTAATACTACAGTCTCGACAAAGTATATTATAAGGTTTCACATGGAAGTTCAGTATATCTTCAGGATATTGAAGTTGTAATTCTGATTATGTTATGTTTGTGGGATGTTCTAATCCAAATTAAGCAGATGCTCAGAGTTAGATGATAAGATGAATCATGTTACAATAGTACAATTAAGTACCCAGATCTTATGATATCTTTACAAAGCTGTTCAAATTCTTCAATTGATATTCATTAGACACTATTTCAAGACAAACCAAAACTTATCAATGTATTAACAGTTTTTTTAATTCAATTTTTATTCAATTTATAATTTGACATCAGATTTTCTGTTAATGATATGCATTAATGTTGATCAGTATTAAATTTTTTATGGAAACAGTCTGAAAATCATCATTTTAACAAGGTAGTATGTTGATTGGCTTGTGATCATAGAAAATAAATTTGAAGAACAGTCTGGGGGAATACACTTTCTAACCGAGTATGAAAGGCAATGTACTATTTAAGGGTTAAGAAATACCCGATAGTAACTTTAGTCTCAGAAGTCTTACAAATTTGGCTTCACTGATACTATTTACGTTTTTAGCCAGAGGTGGAGCTTTATACAACTTAGAAGTATATTATATGAAAATACCAAACTGGTTCTGTTACTTGATTAGACTTAAAGGAATATAGTAGCTTCAATGAATAAGCTTAATTTTTGCTATTTATAGCACTTTTCTACTGCACAATTCAACTTACTTGAATCTTGGCAGTAAAGTCTTCAATTAGTTATATGAAGTTATTATTGATATTAAATGGTGTTAATTGTAAACTGCACAACTGTGAGGCTAGAACCTTGTCAACATCAAGATGTTATCCTTTAAGAATAGTTTATTGCTAGGTTTCATTCATGTTGAAGTATGGTTGAGAACTTGTCCAGCCAATGAGCCAATTAGTCTAGTGAATTTGTTACAGTAATGATTTTAAGATAAAGTCCTGATAATTAGAGGAAAAGGGATGGTGAACCTAATCAGTCATAAAGACCTTTAATTGTAATCATTAGATCTAGAGTTGAATGACCAACTTACCATGGACAACATTATTTTATCTCTGTTTAAAATATGATGCCTTTGGTTTCAGAAAGTATCATAATATTCAGACCCTTTTATTGCTGCATAGAAACAGCCATTAGCTTGTAGTGATTATAATTGAAGTGTCAAGTATTATTACTTTAAGTTGAGAGTATATGATGTTATATTTTATTTAGGTGTGGTGTTAGATGGATTATTATTTTGGGTCCTAAGTGCAAATACAGCTAAAATTAGAACTTTTCAGCTGATACCCATGATTTGAGAGTCAAATTAAGTTAACAGATGCAAACATTTCCACATACACAAATAAGGTCAAAGCTGAGAATAAAATTTTAATTCATCTAATAACAATAAAGAAAGCTAACTCTATCACAATAGCAATAAGAAAATATTTTTTACTCTGTAATAACGTTGGTCAATCTCACAATACAGTTTATCTGGTGCTTTACTTGAAATTTTCTGTTAGTTGAAATCGCAGTTAAATCCTTGAATTGTGGAACACACAAGTTTATTTCACCATAAGACATAATAGAAAAGAATATTCATTTAAAAACAAGGGTAATTGGTTATTGTATGCTTACTGCAGTGAAAAGTGTTCAGCATCTTTAAGTGGATTAGTTATCATTTAGTTTCTGTCAATTTTACGGAATTCTCGGCTTGAGAAGAATTATTTCCGCTGTTTGAATTAAAATTATTGATGACATCCATAAATACGTTTTCCATCAGAGGATAAGAACTGTCATGTCCACTTCCACTCGTGCGAAATGTCATCTTGGTTATTGGCTTATTTTTCTTTTTTCTACAAAACAATTTCCGCATTTCATGACGAAATCTTTGGCCTGTGATGCAGTAGAGACAAAAGTTAATTGAATGATTGGTGTAAAGTAATAAATAACATACCAATTTCAACAAAATGCCAATTGCAATGTCCTGTGTAGATCTGGGTTTAGGTCGTAATAAAGAGTAGAATGACGAAGGTAACGTTGTAACTATCCACACAAAGGATATAGTAAGTAAAGTAACAGCCAGTTTTCTGTGATTATTTCTGGTTTGTTGATCATCTTTAGTCATGGTACTGGTTAACACTTGACGATGTTTTAATAAATTGACAATAATTAATATATTGAACACCAACAGAACAATGAAAGGGAGAAAGGTGTAGAGGACTAGATTGATCCAAGCAAAGATTTTACAAATAAATGGAGCATATGTATAAGAAACACACATGAGTCGATCAACTCCCATTGATGATGCAGTTGATATGAGCTCAGCTGTCCAAAACAAGTGAGAATTAACAACCACAAACACAGTTGCAATAACAAAAGTTCCAAATTTGGCTCTAGAAACACTACACATTGTTCCAGCTTTTAATGGAAACCAAACTGCTAAAAATCGCTCAATTGTCACAGCCACAATAATCCAGGCTGAAAAATGGTTACAAAAATACACCATAAATATAATTATTTTACATGATGCATTGGAGTAGTGAAGCATATCAAAATCTGTCAGAGTTTGAATCCAAGTTTTAAAAGCACTGACGTATAAAAAAGTTGTATCAGCAATGGCCAGCGTGGCAAGGTAGAAACAGGTTGAGGTTTGACGCATCTCACGTCTGAGCATCACAATCAGGCTTAACATGTTTCCGATGGTTCCACCAAGAATTATGATGGGGAATAACCAGAGAATTAAAGTCTGTGATAGTTTATATTCCTCATAATCCTTCAGCAAATCTCGTAAAGACAGCATTTGT